TATTGGCCTCATAAGCCACCAGCGCGCCTGTAGCAAATGTGGATAGAGCCTTCCCAAATTTTCGTTCGCGAAGCCCAGCCATGATGATGATGAGTTAACTGAAAATTAATTGCTTCCTTGTAGTATTTAACTTTATTAAAACAAAGAAATCTTAAGAAAGTTGTCAGGAAGTTAGAAGTCTGTATCTACCTTAAATATGGTTAATGTCAGGCAAAGGTAACTATCATCTTTCATTCTTCAACCTCTTGGTCTCTAGCGAGCAGAAGGATACAGTGGGCCTGTATCATTTTAATTGTGATGGCCACCAAAAAGGCTGTTCTACAATTGGAGATTGTGAAGTACAGTGACAGTGTGGTCACACTGGCTTCTCTGTCCTTCTTAGCAGGAATATTTGACTAGTTGATTATGCTACTTTTGTAGCTTTCTTGTACTATGAACTGGTTTAAAATGCCTATATCAGGTATCAGGACATGCACCACAACTTGAGTATTTATAGTTCTCCTCCCGTTCCCATTAAACCTGTGTTACCATGAGCTCCTTCTCACATCTTTGGGCAGACAGCAGGGCCTGAAACAGTACTGCAAGTCTCATTTTAAATTACGTGCATAGGGTGGACTCACCAGTATGTTGGTACTGATATACTGGCAGGATATCTAACAGGCAGAAACTGTCCCTTCCTTCTGCTGTTTCCAACATCTCATTAGCACAGTCCCTCCTCTATACCTAGCTCCCTGCTTTCTGTCACAAGATGTGAATTTCATTATCTTTTGAAGACTTTCACCTGTCAGTCAGATTTGACTGCAGTTGACCAACAGGTGGAAAACTGTCAGGAAAAGAATAGCAGAGGATTGGGCATCCAGACCAACATGATCACACAGAATCTTTTCGGGAGGAAAGCAGGCCAGGATTTTGCCAGCAGACTGCTGGCAAATCTTGAGGTAAGCTATAGGATATATGTCTCTGTACTCAGGAAGGCTGAACTGGAAGATACAGCCCTACACACCTACTTTCCTGTTAGCTGAAAGACTGGGTTTTATTGTGAGATTGTGAATATACAGTGATTGCTGTAGGTGTAAGCATTAGGATATAAATCAGTGTAACTAAATACAGCCTATAACTACATTACAATCTGCTCAGAACATTACACAGCAAAATAATGCTTGAGAAAAATAATAGGTATTTAATTTGACTGTGTGGGTAGGGGTTTCAATAGAGGGAAGAAGCCTTTTGAATATGCATATATAGAACTTGCAGCCTGAGGAGATCTAGACACAGTACTGAAATATTAGTACTTGCAAGATCACAAGACATCCCATGAAAATCATCAAATTGACGAGTTGGAATAGATGATGGACATATTATAGGTATACAGTTCTGGTCTCCCCAGAGCCTTCTCTTCTCCAGGCTGAGCAACTACAGCTCTCTCAGGATGTCTTCATAGGAGAGGCATTCTCTGATTGTCTTTGCAGCCCTCTTCTGGACCTGCTCCAACAGGTCCATATCTTTCCTGTGCTGAGGACTCCAGAGCTGAGTGCAGAAGCCAGAGGGGGAGAATCACCTCCTTCAACCTGCTGGCCCTCATGTTAGCCCAGTATACAATTGTCTTTCCGGGCTGCAAATACACATGGACAGCTCATGTCCAGCTTTTCTTACACCAATACCACCAAGTCCCTCTCCACAGGGCTGCTCTCAATCCATTCGCTCCCAGCGGAGTCCAGGAAGACCCTGCCATGCACTCGCATTGGCTACCTAGGATGAAATGCAGGGTGCTGTACCTTTGCTGTCTAGCCTGTAGCTTCATTTTTGACTTTTTATGAATCTAGGCACATGTGTCAGACACCTCCTGTGGAGCTCCGGTGCTGGAGGGTTGGGGCATGGTGGGACCCAGGACATGGGACATGTCCCAGCTGTGGATATGAGGAGAGCAGACTTCAAGCTGCTCAGGGAATTAGTAAATAAGGTCCCTTGGGAAAATATTTTTGCAGGTGCTGGGATCCATCAGTGCTGGTCACTTTTCAAACATCACCTCCTAAGGGCACAGGAGCAGGTAATTACCAAATGTCGGAAGTCAAGCAGGTGAGGCAGAAGGCCAGCTTGGCTGAACAGGAATCTTCTCTTGGAAATAAGGCACAAAAGGAAGGTATATGCCCAGTAGAAGCAAGGTCAAGTGACATGAGAAGAATTGCTGTTGTAGAGAGAAAATTTGTGTCAGAAATGTGGGGGACAATAAAAAGAGATTTTTCAAAAACGGCTATAGGCAATATAGAAATATCACTGGCCCATTCCAGGATGAGGATGGTCATCTCCCAAAGAAGGACAGAGACAAGGCAAAGGTGTTTAATGCCTTTTTTGCCTCTGTCTTCAACACAGATCACAGACCAAGGGGGTCGCAGTGCCCTGAGCTCGAGGACCATGACCGCGAGAACAATCAACTCCCAGTCAAACCTGAAATTGTGCGGGACCTGCTGCTCCAGTTGGATCCCTGAAAATCTATGGGGCCTGATGGGATTCATCCAAGAATCCACAAAGAGCTGGCTGATGTCATTGCAAAACCTCTCTTGATGATTTTTGAGCAGTCTTGGGATTCCAGACAGGTTCCAGATGACTGGAAGCTGGTAAACATTGTCTCAATTTTCAAAAAGGGCAAGAAGGAGGACCCTGGAAACTACAGACCCATCAGTCTCACTTCTGTGCCTGCTAAAATTATGGAGAAGATTATTCTGGGAGGTCTGAAAGACAATGCAATCACTGGTCACAGCCAGCGTGGCTTCATGAGAGGAAACTCCTGCTTATCAAACCTGATTTCCTTCTATGACAAGGTAACCCACCTAGTTCATCAAGGGAAAGCAGCTGATGTAACCTTTCTGGATTTCAGCAAAGCTTTCAATACTGTCTCTCGCAGGATCCTTCAGAACAAAATGTCCAGCACACAGCTGGATAAATACATCATGTGGTGGGTGAGCAATTGGCTCACAGGTAAGACACGGAGGGTAATAGGGTGACATCAGACTGGTGACCTGTCACTAGTGGGGTTCCACAGGACTCCACCTTGGGCCCCGTGCTCTTCAACATCTTCATAAATGACTTGGACAGAGGACTGGAAGGGATACTAAGCAAGTTTGCAGATGACACAAAACTGGGAGGAGCTGCTGACTCCCTTGAAAGCAGGGAGGCCCTGCAGAGAGACCTCAATAAATTAGAGGACTGGACAATCACCAACGATATGAAGTTCAACAAGCAAAGGTGCTGGATTCTGCACCTGGGATGGGGCAACCCTGGATATATCTACAGACTGGGGAATGAGATGCTGGAAAGCAGTGTCTGGGAAAGGGTCCTGAGAATCCTGGTCAATGGTAAGTTGAATATGAGTCAGCAGTGCCCTGGCAGCCAGGAGGGCCAACTGTGTCCTGGGGGGCATCAGGCAAAGCATCGCCAGCCGGTCGAGGGAGAGGATTGTCCTGCTCTGCTCTGCACTGGGGCGGCCTCACCTTGAATATTGTGTGCAGTTTTGGGCACCACAATATAAGTTATATATGCTCTTAGAGAGTGTCCAAAGGAAGGCAGAGAAGATGGTGAAGGGCCTTGAGGGGAAGCTGTATGAGGAGCAGCTGAGGTCACTTGGTCTGTTCAGCCTGGAGAAGAGGAGACTGCAGGGAGACCTCACTGCAGTCTACAACTACCTCATGAGGGGAAGAGGAGGGGCAGGCACTGATCTTTTCTCTGTAGTAACCAGTGACAGGACCTGAGGGAATGGCCTGAAGTTGTGTCAGGGGAGGTTCAGGCTAGATGTCAGAAAAAATGTTTTTTACTCAGAGGGTGGTTGGATGCAGGAACAGGCTTCCCAGGGTAGTGGTTCACAGCACCAAGCCTGATGGAGTTCAAGAAGCATTTGGATGGTACTCTCAGGCACATAGTGTGACTCTATGCTGGGATAAGGGTTGGATTCGATGACCTTTGTGGTTCCCTTTCAACTCACCATATTCTGTGATTCCTGTGAGGAGCCCATTTCTGCTGGGGGGCTCGGGCGGCGTCCGGTGCCGTGGCCGGACGGCCATTTCACCCCCGCCTCCATCCCGCCCGCCGTTGCCGGGGTGACCGGGGGCAGCGGCGCCCCCGCCCCCGGCCCCGCCCTGCGGCCAATCGAGGGGCGGCGGCGGCCGCGCGAGGCTCCCTTTGTTCAGCCATTTCGGGGGCCGGAGCGGCGCCGCGCGGGGCTGCGGAGGGAGAGGTCGGGCCGCTCCCTCGCCAATCCCCTGCCGCCGGGCTCTGGGATGGTGTGGGTAGGTGCACGGGCTGCAAGGGGCGGGCTGGCACGTCCCATCCCTGGTAGCCGTCGCCGGGTTCTCCGACCGGTGTCAGGGGCCTCCGCGCCGCCGCTGGGCGGGAAGCCGTAGGGGCCTAGCCGTGGGCTGCCGCTTCCGCTGCCACCGGTGATGGATGCATGGATGAATGGATGGATGGATGGATGGATGGATGAATGGATGGATGGTGCGTAGGCGGGTGGGACGGCACAGGCGGGGCCTGGAACCTGAGGGCCCGCGGCCTGAGGCCCGGGCACACCCCCTACCATCCCCTCCCCAGTCCCCCCGGCTCCTCCCGGTGGCACGGCTGGCGCCGGCTCCGCAGCGCTGCAGCGAGCCGGAAAGTGAAAGTCGCCTCGGGGTATAGGAAAGGGGCCATATTCCCTGCCGTGGTTTCTGCGCTGCGTCGGGTCTCTGCTGTACGGATTTGGCTAGGTGGGGTTTTAAATTTGTGTTCCGCAAGGAGATATTAGAGGAGAAATCTCGTGTCTATCTTGTACTTTTGTTTACCTGGGAAGGTTGTTAATTTAGGTACTCAGTGAAAATAGTGAAACTTGTGAGTCTTTTGTGCAGTGACTGTACAAAGAACAAAAGTGCTTTTTGGGTTGGTATAAACGGCTTGATTAGTCCTTGCTGTGAAGGTAGTAATTGCTCTCAGTTGACTTTCTGCTCAAGTCTTCTGCCTGAAAAGTCCTCCTGTTGTGAGAGTTGTTCTGCAATGTCTTCAGGACACCACAGCTTCTTAGCCTGTTTGCTTGTCCTCTTGTGTGTTTAAGTAGCCCTTAATATGGCATTTGTATACTTCATAGGTGTGGGTAAATCCTTACAACACACGTGGAACAAAAAGTTGACTTGTGTTCCTTCTACACATGAGTAATTAAACAGAAAAAATAATCACATGCACAAGATCCTAAAAGGAGCCTTTGATAGAATTGGAAACTGAGCCGATAAGTCCTCATTCTACATCTGGTGTGTGAACTGTAGTTATTTTTGAGTTGTATGTGGGAGGATGGAGGAAGGGTGCCTATGATATTGGGAAGACTAGTTTCTGGATGATCAGAATTACTTTAGAATGCATTTCTTCAAAATCTAGCTGGTTTGTACTCAAAACTGTATAATACTAAAGAATAATTATGATGCTGCAAAAACAGGGTTAAAAAAGCAGTTTATTGACTGTCTTAATGGAAGAAAGCATGGTTAGAATTAATGTTGACTAAGGATCATGATTACTGTTGGATACAGTCTGTGACACATTTCATTGACCTCAGAAATTGATACAGGTGTAAGCATAGCTCCTAAATTTAGCTAAGCATGCCTTGTGACAGGGAGTTGAAAACCAGAGAATAATGGCTTTATGAATGTAGGCTTTTACTGGATTATCCGACACATTTTTTCTGGTGTATTTATTTAGAATCCACTTCAGGAGTCCTTGTATGTGGCTATTCAATAGAACTGGTGTGTATGTGCTTAATTTTGGGCTCATGGTGGCAACCCCAGGGATGGAGCTACCTTTTAATCAGGTTATATGTATGCACTGAACTGTCCAGCAGACTGGCAGAGCTGGAATAGAATATATCCTGTTCCTACTTCAGGGACACCAAGATGCTATAGCTACAAAGGAGTGTGGCAGAAGGCCAAGTATAATCCTCCTTCATCAAAGCCGATACTCAGTATCTGTCCAGTTGAAGACTGAGACTGAAATAAAGACTGACATATTATCTTTGAAATATCTTATTAATAGAAGTCTTTTGTAGACCCAGTTTTGTTGTTCCGGTCATAAAAAAATTTGTACAACAGGTTTGTGAACTTTGTATGCCCTGATCAATGCATTATTATCAAGTTATGCCAGTGACATGAAAAGGGGAGGATTTTTTCTTTGCTTTGTTTTTGAAAGGGTAGAACTGATTTTCCATTATTTTCACGCCTTAAAGATACTGTAGTCGAGATCAGTTTCGATCACAGAAATGAATTTTACCAGTTAATTTAATTCCAAATTCTATGAACATTTAAGTACCTATATCAGTAGTATGTTTCAATCACCAATTTCACTGTTTTCCAGTCTTTTATAGTATTGATTTGGATTGTTTGGGTAGGTTTTCTACATATATTGATAGATTTAATATATGCAATACAATACTTTTATTATGTGTATTTTGCATATATAAATATATTAATATATAAAAATAATTAATATAGCTATATTATACAATTCATACTGAAATTTTATTTTTTTACTCTCTCATTGATAGATACATACTTGTGTAGACCCAGTGTTGTTTGTTTTATGTATGTGACTTATCATAAAACAGTGTACGTAATAATTTATTTATGCATGTACACTTGGATGCCTTTGGATATGGCATCTTTTAGTGACATATTATGGGATAAGCCTCCAAATGTCACTTTTAGCCTCTAGAGGGTTTTCTTTAGCAAACTCCAGAGTGAGATTTAAACAATTTAAAACCAATCATCTGTTATTTTTTTCTGTGTACTGAATGCATTTGAAATTTTGAGTTTGTGTATATGTGTGTGTGTATGTGAGTCAAATTTCAAATAAGGCATCAAATCAAATAAATGTTGTTTAAAGAAAACTTCTGGTTTTTAAACCTTGAGTATGGAACAGAAAGTTACTCTTAAATTATTTTCCTATTAAGTATGTTAATTTTGTTGAGCATTTTCTACAAATCATTGTGAGATACCCTTAATAATTCAAAATTGGCTGCTTATTATAAGCCTGCCATTAAGTGCATTAATTTAAATATTAGATTAGTGCTATATGTAAAAGCAGAAGGAAAGGCAAGACAAAATTTTTTTGGCTGAGAATAGAAAATAGATAGTAGGTGGTACAAAGATGCAAGAAAGCAGTTACTATATAAGGATCCGAAAAGAGACACACTTGCAGAAATGATGGTGAGATAGCACAGATCAGGAGTTTCCAATCCTAGTTAGTGGGTGTATGATCATCATCATCAGTCACTTCTGGTATCCAGGGTCACATGCTTTTGTAACCATGCCAAATAAGACCTTCATCTATGGCTCCCCTTCCAACTTCCCTGCTGCATGTTCCCATCTTTCAAGCTAGGATTGCAGTTGAATGCTCACATTTAACCTTCCTTATCTATTCATGCATCCATAGAAGCTTACTCTTAATGTCAGACTTCAGTCACATCCTTCTCCTCCACATACCCAAATTATAAACCTTAATTTCCCGCAACAACAGAGTGGAGCCTTGGCTTCCCCTGTGTGCATGAATCTCCTTAATCCTGTTCTTCCTACCTCACCATGTCTTGCTGTTCTTCCGGTGTACTGAACAGAAGTGCAGGTCTGTGTGGGGACAGCAGAGCTGTTCATTATTGTTGAGTGCGAGCAGTGGCTGCAGTAGCTCCTGACTGTTCCCACAGGTTTTATGGAAGCCAGGGGGTCATTGCTGTGCTGGCTGTATAAGAGCAGTGAGACCCAGAAGCTGTGGCTCAGTTAAGTTTTGAATGTTTCATGGCAGCAGATGTGAGTGTCTTGTGCACTACAGTTTGGACACTTCTTTTATGGAGAAAGAAGGAAAGTCAGTAGCAGACNAGGGAAAGAGTAATTTTCATCAGAGACTAAAAAGCACAGATCTACTTTTTATACCACATAAGCTAAATCAATGCAGAAGTCCAAACAGATGTTTCAGTCTGTTTTACATCAGTTTTGCTTGAGTCAATTCCTCAGGAAAAAGAAAACCAACCTTAAATTAAAATAAGTTATTCTTTCTTGTGCAGGCAAGCCCTGAGCTCTGTGTCTGGAAATCAGGAGTGACTACAGTCCATTAGGTGTAACGTAAATAAATGGAGTTGGCATAAGAGGTGGAAGCTTCAGTTGTTGAATCTGGCCCATAAGAAGTAGTTAAAAACAAACAAGATGGGCTTTGAATGGAGCAAACGGGAATCAATTGCATTAACAGTAACACAAGACTCAATGTAGTTACATTCTTCTGTGTGAGAAACCAGTCATTGCTAGCTGAAAACACTAGAGTCTGAAGCAGGATGCTTTTGGAGCCCCTTGAAAAAGGAATGAAAGTAGGCCAACTGGTAAGGGGAAGTGCTTGATTAAAAAAAACTTAATGTTGTTTCATGATTCTCTCTAACACACACATGTATGCACTAATGCAAATATGTGTGTGTGTGTATATCACATCTTCAGGTATCTGCTTTTCTTAAAATCTTTTAACCTGGTTAAAATCTGGTTGGTTGTTTGGTCACGTTAACAAATTACTTCAGACACTTTGATTCCAAAATCTTCCACGTCTCTGTAGGAGACTTTCTATAGTCTCCCTGTGTTTCTCCACTAAAAACTGGGTAAGGCAGTAATTTCACACAATTTTTTGCTTCTGGGGAAACCCCTGTTCTCCCAGGAGAGACCTCTATTTGTTCCTGAGCCAATGAGTACTTGTAATATATTTTACAAACTGTGATGATAATATGTCTTTCAGTTTAGCAAGGAAGCATATTTTAGGTTAAGCACTGTCCATTCCAGTGATTGTCTTAATTTCTCAGTGATTACATAGAATCAAAATAGCAAACAAAAATTAAATAAAACACAGTTGACAATATTCACTGCTTCCTTCATTTGCAGCATGCACTTCAAGATATGTTTTGTTTTGTTTGCTGCTTCCATTTGCACTCTTCTGGGGGGTGGAGAAGTTGATACTGATAAGGAATACTATGAGGAAGATTAACCTTGCCACCACAGAGTTCAGCTCTTGTTGTTTGGGTTTTTTCAATTAATTGTTATACAATATTTTAAAGATGAGATATGAGGGTTTTTAAATAAGAAAAAACAGAGTATATGAAGCTGCATGTGTTAATATTTTCCTGATAAATGATATGGATTTTTGTATCAGCACATGAGATTGAGAATCAGCAGACATGGAGGTTACTGTCCTTGCATTGTTTCTTTTATGCTAGGTAACAGGGCTAATGGATTATAGTGAGGCTTTGATA